GCTCCCACAAACTTTGCTGATAGCGTGCACATGTGACTTGTGTCGAGTTGCATATATGGTGCATCTTTCAGCATAAAGAGCGCGGCACCCCCATGGAGAAAACTTGGAATAGACTGTTGTTAGCCTGGTGTATCCAGGTAAGAATCTTGCCTAAAGTAACACTGTTTTTGTGAAAAGTAAACTGGAGCGGTTCTGTATTTGAGAAAAAAACAATCAAACCGTCTTCATTTGGCCCCCATGATCACGAATATTGACTTCATATTTCAATCCACTGCACGCAAGTTGCAGAAAATCATTTTCAAAGTACAGCGAAAGCACCTCCTTCCAGGGGCGTTACGTCATATTAGGAGCATTCGGAATCTCCGCTCTCGAACATCTTCAGCGCCTATTAATGCTATGCACGCGCACACTCGCTATCTTCAAAAAGGGCAAAAAAAGACGTCACAACTTGTGTGAGTGCGGGGGAATATACCTGGAAAGCTTGCGGTTGTACGCACGGCCCACACGAGCCACACGCGCTTGGCAGCCAAAAGATCCCACCATGACGAAACGACTGGTCGGAAGTTTTTCGTGTTTTCTCGCGTTTAGTAACGTCTTCAGGGGAAAAGAACGTGATATTCAAATTCATGGGATAACAATGTACAAAAATTTAGAAATGAATGAAATTGAGGAAGGAGAGGAATTCAGTTGGACGTCAGGCGTGTTTTTTATCTTCAGAGCCAAACCAGTGGAACACTCCATGTCTTCGATCGACAGGGCCGTCAAGCTGCTTGTTCACAAGCTCCACCGCAAGCTGGGAGACATCAAAGCCCGATTTTACGAGGGCCACCGCCCGGCCAACAATTGGTGCTAAACCCCAGAGCTCCATTACAGGGGTGCTGGAGTCATTTCGTCACTTGAAATTCAGCCGGCTCGTCTTCAAGCTGGGCAAGGGGGGATCGCTTGCCAGGAACCTGAGAGTGGCTTATGGCGGCCCAGTGAAGAGGACTGCTGCGAAGACCGCTGCTAGGCCTGCCGATCTTCACCCTCTTCACCATCCCATCACTATGATAATCATCCACATGATTAATTTGTACAATACCATTTCGTCATCAGGCATAGGTCTTCAAGGTATGGGCGGTTCACGTTTCCACGGCGTCGCGGCTCTCCTGAGTTGAAATTAATAAATATATCATGTCATGTCATATCATATCATATCATATCATATCAAATATCCTAAAATTCACCTCTAACTCGATTTTTTTCCAGGAACCTTTTTATTTTCATTCAGAGGCTAGTATCAGAATAGGAGAGTACTGAAGATGAGGGTTCGTCTCGCCGTGATTGACATTAAGTTCCACTACGGCACGATCGGTGCTGCACCTATTAACTTCGTAGGTAAGGAGACTCGCTCGGTAACCATGTGCTGCACAGGATTCGGTGTGGTTACTCCTCGAATTTGCGGAGTGCTGCTTTGTGATCTTTTCTAGGGGTTTGGCGTCGGTCCTTACTGGATCATTGCCTCAATGGTTTCCCTCATGGCTTCCAGTGTCTCCAGTGCTAAGACGGCCTCTGTCGTATATACCCGAGCTTCTCTTGGCTGGCTCACTGCTTTGAACTGGCATAAAATAATTTTGACAATTTCTGTGTCTTTTCTCGGCCTTGGGGCTGCTCCCCCTTACCTTTCGTCGAGCTGGCGAAGGATCGCCACCTTTCTTTTTTATCCTCTTTCCTAAAGTCTGGGCTCTGTCTGCTTTCCGCATGTTGCCGGAGAGTGTTAACTGTGGTCTCTGCCTCTTTTCCCCCTGCGGTCTTGTCCCAACACTGCTGGAAGGACCCTTGCCTTTGGTGTGGCTCCGTTATCCTAGCGTTACCTTTTGTTGTCGTGTGCCTCGATTCCACTCAGGATGCCTTCTTCTAAGGGCCGCGCGTGCCTTTTTGTGGGTAGAAGCCGTCCTGGCGCGTTCTTCTCAGATTTGCTTTTCCTTCCATTGCACAGGGCAAAGGTTTGACATGGCGGCTTGGCCCCAACGACACTTAATGGAGCGAACGGTTTTACTCTCGCACTCTTTTTTTTTTGTTTTCCCGTACACTTCGCACACGTCTCTACCCTCTCGCTGGCGGCGGCCATATGTACCATGCTATTACATCGATAGCATTGCAGGGGCCAGGCCACGTAAAGCGAAACAACGTACCATATAGAGCCCATGTGGACGTGACTTGGAAGGGATTGTCCTGAAAATGTGATCTTGACCGAAGGTGTTTGTTGAAAATGTCGCACGCCAAGGATGCCGTGATGCGGAGCTCGCAGGGCATTGAAGACCGCGTCTTTTGTCTGGTCTTTGTCGATGTCCCGAACCATGCCAGCAGTGATGTCTTCACCGCTTGGTATGTGGGGCTTACCTTTAGAACGCACAGGACATTAACACCTAGGAAAGCTGATAAAACATCTTGCGCTAGGACGTCGAACATCACGATTTCCTTCCGACTGTGGAATCGCATCTCCTTGAATTTTTCATGGATGACGGCGCTATGGAGGGCGGAAATCTGCGTTTTTTTAATGTTGTCTTGACGCTTACTTCGTCTGTGGTTCAGCATAGCATCGTCTATCTAGGCTCCCGAAATTGGTGGGGTCTGTTCGACACTCTCGAGAAAACAATGTCACCACTATTTCTTGACACACAACAGATTTTTTTCCTCCGTACTATATCGCACCCCTCCTAATCAGCGTCACTTGCTGGATGTTTACTATGGTCCGCCAGGAACGATTCAGAGCCTGAAGGCTCATACGCACATTCGCGTTTGAACGCTTTTGAGTGCGTTGTGTCGTCCTTGCGGCCAGCAGCGGTCGCTTGCGATGCGGCGCACCTTTCCGCAACGCTTCGTAGCGCGACGCAAGCGAGTGGAGACTCGCTCAACTTTCCGAAGCGTTGCGGTGCGTTCGACCAATCAGAAGCCGGGAGAGGAGAGGAGAGTGGCGTGTTCGCTCGCGCCACTCGGCCGACTCGGCGAGACGTATCCGGTTCTCTGCTCGCAGAAGTTGCTTTTTTCGTTTTGCGGAGCGGTGGGGGAGTGTACTTCCAAGGCTGCGATGGTTCAAGCTTCACAAAACGTCCGGGAAGCCAGCGGGATTGTCCCAAGATAGAACACTTCGACGCTGTCGCTGTGCGCCGCCATGTTGCCTTGGATTTCCTTACCATTGGTGAGCCTCTAGCGACGATAGCGCGTTCTTATTGGCTCTTGACTGCAGGTGACTGCGTGTCAACACAACTGTGTGTACAAGTTTGGCGCAAGCGCTCTTCGCAACGAAACGCGTCCGCTTGCCGCTACGGAACGCACCGCGCTCAAACGTGAACGTGCGTATGGGCCTTGAGAAGTACGGCGGCACCGATGCGTTCGATGATGTCTTGACCACGTCGCTGTCCCTCTTGTGATACGTGCTCCCTGGCGTGACCGGAGGGGCTGAAGTACTGTCATTGCCAGCGTGGGAATGACAGGACTCCCCCCCAGTGCGTGATTTATCCTGTCGTGCGTGGCCTGCTAGGCCTAACAGCTTCCCCCGCAGACAGCTACTTGATGCGATTCGATTCAATTAACCGTTCCGAACCACGTGTTCAGATTGTTGCGCGAAAATCCGTGGAGGAAGGAAACGAAAGCAGCCGAAACAAAAAACCGACTTCCTCCGTTCAGACTGCAATCTGACACATTACGCGTCTTCTGCCATTTTTCGGTGCAAGGCAGATTCAGGCCAGTTTTTTTTTAGTCTGAAGAGTGGCGCTGGTGTAGCTGCTGTTCCTGTCGAAGCCGGCTGTGGGTAGTCCGGAGTTCTGATTAATTTTCAGAGATATACATAAACTCTACAAATCAACCGCACTCGGCGTTTCCGCCTTATCGGCTGGGGCTACGAAGCCACCGTGCTGACGAGCTGCCTGGTTCTGCTGGGTAACGGGGAAGATCTGGTGCAGCGGCAGAAGCAGCATCTGTGCAATAAACACGAGGTGGAATAGACGCGTCATCTTGGTGATGACACCGTGGACGCGATGCATTTTGTTTTTAATATATTCGGCCAAATAATACTCTGTCTATTATTGTGGTGAATATGAAATCTCGCCATATGTTTGAGTTTGATAATTACGACAAACTTCGCTAGAGCGGTTGACTCAATTTTAGAGCGCAGCTCTTAGGCGCCTGTTTTCACGTATAGCGGTGTCGCCGTCGGCGTAACCGCGCGTGCTGCATTATGGGACGTCACAGTCTTATACACCAGTTCAATTCCCCGCTAAATTTAGCGAAGAAACTGAACTGGTTTGTAAGTCTTTCACGCCCCATAGTGCAACATCAAGCATTCAGTTTCCCTGCTCAATTTAGCGATAAAAGTGACGTCACATACTTCAACACCTATTCAGTTTCCCCGCTAAATTTAGCGGGAAACTGAAATGGTGTTGAAGTCACGTGTCGTCTATTTTCCAGCTACATTTACGAAGGAATCTATGGGAGGAGGGGAGGATGCGGAGGAGGAGGGGCGGATACAGAGGAGAAGGAGGGGAGGGGAGTGTACGGAGGAGGGTGGAAAGGGGGAGAAGAAGGAGCGCAGAGTAGGAGGACGAAAGGAGGAGGAGGGGAGAGGATGAGAGAGAGGAGGAGGAAATGGGGAGGGGAGTGGAGGAAGAGGAGAAGGAGGGGCATTCCCTCCTTTCTGTACCCTCCCCTCCTCCTACTCAAGAGCTGCACTCAAATTTCGCATTACAGAAATTTGTAACCGTCCTGAATTTCATTATGTTTAATTCTGTAATTTTTCACTTCAATAACTGTTTTCTCGTTATCGAATGTGCTTCCATGTGGCGCCAACTTACCATATACCGGTAGCCGGCAATACTAAATTGCGACCAGGGATCAATGTCACGTCCTGCTCAACTGCTTCGCGTGGGTTATAACCCACGCGAACCAGTAGGGTACGCAACCTTTTATGCCGAGCTTTCAAACATTAACTTCTTGCGTGCCTTTTTGTCTCCTCTTTTCAGGGTGGTGGTCGTCTAGCTCTATTCCTTACCTTGGACATAGTTACATTCTTAAATACGAGTACCAAGAGTTTTTCGCGAATCAGCCAGCCTGGGTGGAAGAGTACTTTGACGCACAGAAGAAAAGGGCAAAAATTATGGCTGTGTCCCTTGGTGTTGAGTTCGCCGACATTTACGACTACAAGTTACAGAGAGTAACGTCCTACAAAGCAAGGAAGCCATGTAAGTCTAAGGTTTGTTCCACCAGAATTTGCTTGATGACAGTAATGAAAAAAAAAAAAAAAACTCTACAAAACCATATTCAAAATGAAGTGTAGCTACTAACTGACGCGTAAATTTGTCATTGCAGCATTATTCGACCAAAAGTTGCTATGAGCTTGATAGCTCGAGTTTCGTTGTTTGGGATTTCAAGTTTTTTCTCTTTTTATTTGTTATGGTCATTGTTGTTGCTTATCTCAAAGGTGGTTATATTACCTGCCAATTTTGTGTTATTAGGGTTTCTTTCTTGCGTCCGCAAAAACAAAATGGCGTTTTCTGGAATTATTGTGAAGAAAACAGGACACAGCTGCGAGATTTCCCAACCTCCAAGGTAGGCATGAGCGCGACCAGAATACTTCAGGAAACATCCGATACCAATATCAGGGTAGTGCGTTTCTCAGATATAAAAACAGCCTAGCGGAAAATTGGCTTCAGAGTGAATAAAAAGTATTCAGGTGAACGCAAAAAAAAGTTTTAGATTAAGATTGTTTTTGTGAAGTGTGATTTATTTATTATTACACAACAATTATTAATTTTTTATTATGTTTCTTTTATTTTCGAGAAAACCATGTCTGGGGTTAAATTTCTGGGTTCATCTGTATATTTCTAAAACACAAAACCTTATTTATAATGTATAAAAAATAACTTTCATGCGTCTACAACGACGATGGAAAGGTAAAGTGCTTCAACACATATAATCGGAGATCAATAAGCCGTAGGAAACATAAAAACTTATGCATTTCGCAATACTTTGCACCCATTACTGGAAAAGTGCAACAAAGTGGCGTGGTAATTCATAAGCTTCGAGTGACATTTCTTATACATTGCGGTATAAGCATCGACTAGGGAGTGGCTCGGGGGCCCGAGCACCACCTAAAATTTTGCGGGAGCGTGAAAGCCCTCCCTTTTTTTGGGAGCTGCACGGGAAAGGAAGTACACTCGCCTCCATGACCTACGTCTCATTCACCTCATACCTGTGCCGTGGCGGGTGCTTGCAAGTATCGAAAGGTGTCACCCATGAGTCAGAACAACGAGATGAAATAACTGCAAACACTTGGCAAACTTACGAGGCAGCTGAAGAAACGACTCGATACTAGGTGAAAAATATAGCAATATAAAAATAAAGAAGCCTACAGACGGCAGTAAATACGTAGTAAAAGTCTCCCTCGGCGACGACGATTGTTAAGGCTGTTAATGAGTTCTTGACCTAAAACATGAACGAAGGCAGAAAAGGAGCTCGCGGGAACATTACAATTTTGGCATCGGAAGCAAAAAGAAAGCAGAAATAGGAGCAAGGAACTGATGAAAAAAGAAAACTTGTCCGCTCATTCGCACAACTGACAGGAGCCTTTTTTGACGCTCAAAGGCGGTTTTGAGGAATACCCACGGCAGCTAGATTAAAAAAAAAAATATCTTTTAAGGAAAACAATGTGGTCGGTTCATAGGTTTACCATGCTGCATAGATTTCCGTAAAACTACGGCCACAGCAGAAGAAACGTCCACGGGCTCCTGCCGCGTGACGATGTCGGGTGCGCAAGAAGCGAATGCCGGTGGTTTGGAGTCCGACACAAGCAACTGTGCAGCCCCCCGCGCCGCCATCTCCGAGGCGCATACGCAAAATTGCGTGCAATTTTTAATATTATTTATTAATATTTTTTTTTTACGGTTCGCCCATTTGCGGGGGAGAGTCGTGTGAATCGCCCGTGCCGCAGAGCACGCGAGCTCTGCCGCTGTTCAGACTGGTTCAGAGCGATGGGTGAAGATTGTGGAATGACGTCTGTGGGAACGGCTTCTATTGACGTTAAAATCAGACACGAGTGCGTCGCGTTGAAGCGAGCAAACGAGCAAGTCAGCAGATAACAAACGACGCGCGTGCGCACTGCGCAATTTTTGGCAGCAGGCGGCGCTTGGTAAGGGACAGCTCCGGGGTTATCTGTGTGACGTCTCTTCTGTGACTAAGTTTTTGTGACATCGACCTCCCAACTTTGTACACCCTTCCAAGCGCGAATAAAGACGTAATTCTAAATAAAAAAGAAAACCCGAACATGCAAGACAATAGAACATCTACGTGTTGTCGTCGTGTGTCGTTCTATGGCGGCAACAGGCGGCAAAGTTTGAAGGAGCCACCACACACGACCGAGAAAGCGAAGCTTCAGCGACCTGACAACCATGGACTCAAGAGTCGCATTGCCACCAGGTTACCTATCAAGCACCAGCCTTGCTCCACGGTAGCTCTCTACATGGGTGTTGTCCCAACATTACTGGAGGGTGATGAGGAGTGCAATGAGGGAGGTCTCTTCTTTTCGTTTTTGTTAGTGGTGAGCCAGACCAGCACTCACCAAGGCTCCTGTTATTTTTTTGTTTTGTTTAAACAAAGCTTTTTTCTGGCCTTTTTTGTTTTTCTGTCTGCAATACTCTGACTGTCTTCGCTTCCTTCAACTTCGACATTCGCGACACGAAGGAGTAAGTTGGGGCCTCGCATGTTAATACCCCTTCAGTAACATCACAAGCAGAACAATTGTAATTGTTCTTTAGTACTAGGACGGAGTAATATGCATAGAAGAATGTTTGCGATCAAAACTAACAAACCGACAAAGCTAAATTACAAGCATACTCATAATTATTCTGCTGCTCGGTAGTTAGAGTTTGATTCTCATTACCATTTTGCAAGGCAGAATGATTCATTTCGAATAATTATTCACGAAATGGGATTTATAACTTGGTAATGCGGCTTTTTTTTTTTCGGGGGGGGGGGGGGGGGGGAAGGGGGAGGGGGTCCCATCGGCCTTTAGCTTTTCATTGGAAATGAAAAACTTTCCACTTATGCTTTGCGATGTGTGCCAACGTTACGTGTGTTCTATGTGTGTGTACGTAGTTGACGGCGAGACGTTCGTAGGTGATCTGTGTTCTATGATGTGTGTTCCTACGTCAAGGCGAGACGGCATAAACATGAATTGGTTAAACTTTTCTTTATTGGCATGAGAAGCCAGCTCTGGTAGGCTCTGATTTAAGCCGAGGTCACATGCAGTGTGTATACATTTTCGAACGCGAATCACCGCTAGGACCGTGCTTCGAGTGCCGCTACGGAAATCTGTCCGTGGTAGCGGAAAGGCATTTTTCCTTGTGGCGTCATTCAGCTTTCTGTAATCTACGAAAAATCGGACCATTGCATCCTTTTTTTCACCAGAATAATTGGCGAAAACCACGGCCCATAGGCTGGCTCAATGGCACCTTGAGTGAACATTTCTTGAACAAGGTCATTTACGTGCGAGCACATAGCCAGCGGCAGCCTGCGAAGTGGCTGTCGAACGGGCGCACCATCACCAATTATGATGTGGGGTGCGGTCAGATTTTTGACGCTAATGCTAAATGCCGTCAAAAAAAAGAGATTGCAAGTTGCTTAGGACTGCGTCATCCTCTTGAAGACGAGAAGCAATAGTCTCGTATAACGGAATAAGATGACCGCCGATGTCAACATAATTTTTATTTATTATTTTTTATATTTTTTTATACAGTACCTACATCGCCCAGGGGGCATTACAGTAGGGGAGTTTAAATACGTAAAAGATGGTTGCATCACACTTGTTAAGCGCAAGTAAAACATAGTGATCGAGAGCACCAATACACTAAAAATGCAAACAGAGAAACAAAAATCGAAGATCTGCTACAAGAAAAAGGAATACAATCAGCAAGCACATTACAAAGTAATAACCTAAAAAAACATAATACAAGTATAACTAATAAACACAATACACGGTATTGCACACTGAGGGAGTCTTATAGGTCCAATAGGAAAGAAGAAAAGCTGGCATCTGAGGTTTCTGTCACCACAAGTTCAGGAAGGGCATTCCACTCATGAATGCTCTTTGGAAAAAAAGAATGTTTAAAAAGTTCTGTTCTACATCTAATTTCCTTTATTTTGAGCGAATGATCTATCCTTGAGTAAATGTAATCAGGACTATGAAGATAATTATTCTTGTTAATGAGTGTGTTTTTTAGGAAAATACTTCTAAAAAGTTTTAATCGCAAACATTTTCGTCGTAAAGCATGCAAGTGCCAGCCAAGTTGGTCTTTAAGTTTGGTGACGCTTGACCGAACGGTGTAGATATTCGCAACAAAGCGCGAAGCTCTTTTTTGTACGCGTTCAATTTTTGAGGACAAGTTGACGAAATAAGGGTCCCACACTGAACACGCGTACTCTAAGATAGGCCTGACGGTAGTAGTGTATAGCAAAGCTTTAATATCCTCAGGAGCGATTTTAAAATTCCTTTTTATAAAGTTTAGGACACGGTTCGCCTTACGTATTACTGTGTAACACGTAAGGCGAACACGAGCCTAGGAAGGTAGCAGGTGTAGCTTCCTTGCATAGAGAAAATGTTGGTTGAGCATCTTCACCTGCAACAAAAAGTCTGTTGTGCTGTGGCCATCTCGTTGCGAACTCGAGCAAGTCATCATCGGGAGGGTGGCTGCCGACTTGCGAGCGGCCTCCACTTCTAGTGCATACGTGTGAGCGGCCTGAAATACGTGGGGGTGGAAAGGACGCATCGCATCTTGGATTTCTGTAGATGCAATAGCATCCACGGTGTCTTCGGAAGACCCGAGAAACGACAAGTGTACAAGAAGCGCGATGTCGTCAGCGAGATTGGACAACGTCTCACCGGATGCTTGTCGTCGATGACGTAGTTTAGTATGGTGAAGGTGAGGTTAAGGCCCATCGCCGAAAGTTTTTCTAACGTCTGGACCAGCAAGGTGCATAACCCATGAGACTGTGGCCGCATGTGGTGGAGTACTTACAATGCTGGACCACAGAAGTAGACTGCAAGTACGTGTGCCTGCTGCTCTTCAGTCCAGAGATTGGCTTTAACAAGAATCTCAAAATGTGTTACACGAAGTATGCGCCTGTGCTGTCAAATTGCGATGGCCGCAGATTAAGGCGTGGCGTAGATAGGGTTATAGTCGGCGCG